CTGGAAGGTGCAGGTTGGCAGACCTTTAATGTAAGGGCCAGATAGTAAATATCTTAGGCATGGCAGACCATGTGGTCTCGCCAAGATCACTCAACTCTGCTGCTGTAGCACAGTAATTCACAAACCAATGAGCACAACTGTGTTCCAGCAAACCTTTATTTATATAAGCAGGTAGAAAGCTACATTTGGCCCCTGGATCATAATTTACTGACCTGTGCTCTGAGAAATGAATGGAGGTTGACGGAACCATGAATGACTCTGAAAATCAGAAATTACAATTCAGTGGCAGAGTACAGATGACTCTTCCTTCTAGGATGATTCTAGAATCATCATGGGTTGTAGAATGACATTTTTTTCTTTGCCTGTATAAGTTCTGCTAGAAAAAAAAAAATCAAAGAAAACAAGATTTTTGAATCTGGAATAAACTGGCCTTTAGGAGTAGATTTGGGTTCTGTGGCTTTGTTGGAGTTGGTGAATCCATTCTGACTCCCACAGCTGCAGCAGGTAAAGGATGGCTTAGAGGAATTAAAAAGCCTAAACAAATGTGGAAATAATAATAACTTCCCTTTGCAGGTGCCATCCCCTTCACAAATTGTGGCCACTCTTATCTCCATTTTACACAATAAGCAGTTTTAGTTGACAAAGGATAAGTGCTTTGCTTGGCATAACACAGCAAGTGTCAAAGAGCTGAATCACTTTCCCCTTGGCCACAATACTTCGGTAAACAAAAGTAACCAACTTTCCCTGGGACATCCTCACTTCCTTCTGTCTCAGAAATGGAGGGGCAAAAATGCTCCTTCTTCTCCCTCGAGCAGTCATATTTTATTTTTTTTCCAGGAGTAATCATATTTAAATTACAAACAATAGATGCCCCAAAACAGTCCCTGCCATGTGCCAGGCATAAAGCTTTTATTTTATTATAAATTTATTTTCTTTCCCTTACTAGACGTCAGAGTCAACAAAGTAGGAGGTTGGACAGTTAAGCAATTTGCACCACTTTGCACTAATAATTAACTGTGCACCAGAACTTGACCTAGTTCTCACAGACTCCAAGGCACTTCCAGCAAAAAACAACTGCCATAGAGCTTTGTGGTTAAGTCCACAGACTCTCAACCTAAACAGCCTGGGTCCCACTATGAACTTCACTGCTGGGCAGTTGCATCATTCTGGGCAAATTACTCAATGATTCTGTCTTAGGTTCCTGATTTGCCAAATTAGGACCATGATAATGGTTTCCTCCTCATGGTAGGTTATAAGGAAAAAAGGAGTAAGCACCACAGACATTGGCTTTTCCCATAGACCATAAGCTGTGTGAGTACAGGAGTTATTGTCTGTTTTGACCACTATCGTGTCCTTAGCACTAGAATAATGTCTGACATATTGGAGGAAATACTGTTGCATAAATGAAAAAAAAAAAACATTTAAACTCAATTCTTTAGGTTAGGTTATGACAGGGTTCAATGTCAGTGTGAAAACACACAACCTTCTTTCTTTACTACTTTTCTATGACATACATTTGACAGGTAAAATTGAGTCTTTTAAGTCATAATTTAAAGGGTAATTAAGCATCCTTAATCTAAAAATCTAAAATCTAAAATGCTCCAAAATCCAAAGCTATTTAAGTACCAGCATGCCTCCACAGACGGAGGACTCCACACCATGAAATTTTCTTGCATGTTCAAGCCTACTAAAAACATGGTATAGAGCTCCCTTCAGGCCATGTGCACACACTGCATAAGAAATGCTGTTTAGACTGGGTCTCACCTCCATGGTGTCTCATTGTATATATGCAAATATTCCAAAATCTGCACAAATCTGAAATAAAAAGCACTTCTGTCCGCAAGCACTTCAGATAAAGGATATTCAAAACATATGAGAAACTAGTGGTTCTGCTAGTTCTTTCAATATTCCCAACCAAAGCGGATATACAATGGTAAGACTGAGGTTTCCACAAGTGCTTGCACAAAATCATCATTCAGACACACTCTCCTAGTTCTTTGTTAGTCTCAGAGGTAATTCATTTTACACTTCCTTTCATCCTTTTTAAAAAAATCTATCATTACATGGACTTTTCTGTCTTAAAGTTTACTTTTTCTAAACTTGTGTTTTTCTTTAATACCATACATTCCAAACACAGATCCGTACTTAGTGGCATCCGCTGCTGGGAGCTCTGTGGTAATTGAATTATAGATCCCATTTGTGTGACAAGATTGCATTTTTTTTTTATTTTAAAGATAAAAGGAGGGAAACATTAACAGACATACAACATTTTACAACATATCACAAGCACAATACAGACAATACAGAGTTACAAACAAAGTGGTAGGGAATTAACAATGGTGGTTGTATTACAGAAGGAGAAATTTTGTATGTATGTATATACAGGATAGATAACATGGTTGTTCTTCTATCTGCTGTTTCTATGCTGAAAGAAACTGTCAATGAGTCTTTGGTTGACCAGTATTGCATGTCTATATCTGTTTTCATGAGAAGCCACTTTGAAGACAAGATTGCATTTAATGCCTTCTCTTCAACAGCAATGGACTCAGAGAGCAGCATGGCCTCTGGGGAAAGGGGCAATGTTGTCCCTGAGTCAGAGCATGTGCAGAGAGGAAGGCTCAACAGGAAAGGGGCAGACAGCAGTGCTCCAGAATAAACATGATCTTGTAGGTTGGGCTTAGGTAGGGACTTCTTGGAAGTCAAGCTCCATATATTCCCAAGAGTACTGCTTAGCTAGTGTGCCACATTGGTAGAAAATGGTGGCCAACTCTTCACTGAATTTTTGATGAGTATACGTGATATTCATCCTGAATGGTGATTGACTGATACCCCTCACACATAGCAAAGCATTGGGTTCCAATCTATCTCCCTGGTTTCCACTGTGTAAATCACCTGTCCATTAAAATTATGCATCCTTTCAGAATTACACAGAAGTAACTCACACAACCAGAAAGTTCTGTTTCTGGTAATATGCCCCCCATGAGATCTTTCAAAGACCTTAATAATTGGGAAGACTAAAATGTAGCATTGTTTGTTTGTGGAATGCTTTATATGTTTTATATGAAACAACTGAAGTAAATAAGTCTTACTTTTGAGTGCTCTTTTGCTTACAACCTAAATATCTTACAGACTTCTGACTTATCTTTCTTAAAGTCAGAAGGCTTTTTTTAAGACTTTGGAAAAAACTGTTAATGAAAATCTGCTGAAGCTTTATTCTATTTTATTTTATATAGTATTTTTTATCTTTTTGAGACAGGGTGGCACTATGCAGTTCAGGCTGGCCTTGAACTCACTTTATAGCCCAGGCTGGCCTCAAACTCACAGAGATCCTCTTGCCTTCCTAGTACTGGGACTACAGGTATCCACCACTATGCCTGGCCTTGCTGAAGTTTAAAACACCGTGAATTTGGTCTTTCCTACAAAGCAAAATATTAAATGAAAATTCTATTAAAAGAGTTAAAGAACACTGTGAGGTTGACTTTTATATACAATTGGAAAACCACTGATAGAATTTAGTTTTAAAATGAAAACCATGAAATAAGAATTTGGTCCAAAATGGCGGTTATAAAGAAAATTAATATTTACCTGGAGATAGCTTATCTGAGCTTGAAAATATTAAAAACTCTTATAAAATATCAGTTAAAAATTTTCAAGTATTCTACATGAGAGAAATTACATACACAGCACTGACATTTGTTATTTCATCTCTTTATGACATGCATAGTATTATTAGCCTTACTTATTGATGAAGAAAAAAAGGAGGAAAAAAGGATTTATAAAGGTCAGGTAATGTGCTAGAAGTTGCAAGGGTGTAATGTATAGAGCCAAGATTCAAAGCCAAGTGCTTTGCCAGTGGAGCCTGAAGTCTTAACTATTGCCTATAGCATAAGTCTAAGTCATGTAAGAGACTGAAAACACGCACATGTTCAGATTGAGTATAAAAATGGTTGTATATAGACAACCTATTAGTATCACCCTAATAAAATACCATTATTATCATAAAAAGAAAATGCTATTATTAAAACAAATAATGAAAACGTATTTAAAATAAATGAAAAGCGTTTGCCTTATGGTTCCCAAAACTGTAGTTCTTCTAACTAATAAAACAACTTTAATGTTTTAGAGGATAAAATTTCAGGGATTGATACCCAAGGTATCTTGTTAGCTTTGTATACAAATCAGCATTTGGCCACCTTGTTTGGAGTCAATGTCCAACTAATTACTGTGGTTTGATTACAATTTGTCTCCCCCAAATGCACATTGAAATTTAATCCAGACTATGAGGTATGAAGAAGGTGGAAGCTGAGTCTGACCTGGGTGTTTAGCGCTGGGGGCTTTGGAAGACAATCAGGATTAGAGAAGAGCGTCAAGATGGGACCTCCATGGTGTGTTTACATTGTTTGGTCAATTATGCATGCCTGTGCCTTGTTACCTGAGCAACTCATTCGAAAATAACAATGTGAAATGTATTAGCTATTGTTAATCTCCTATTATCTTGTTTTGAAATTCTGTATTATTGGCTTTTCATTTTTTTCTTTTCTCTTTAACATAAAATAAAAATAAGTAAAAATTAAAAAGAACAGGGAGACCAGGACTCATAGGTCCCACCTCTCACCTTGGGATCCCCAGAGCTGCCTCAGGACTCTGCCAGCAGAAAGCCCATTGCCGGATCCTGACCTTTTACTTTGGATCAGAACCATGACCCATAAAAAACCTGTTTTTTTCCTAAATTACCTAGGCTGTGGTACATGTTATTAGCAACGGAAAACAGACTAAGAGACCAACCAACAAAAATATCTGGCTTGTTATCCTTTTGCTTTTAGTAAAATGATAGATCGAGCCGGAAAGAGTTTAAGAAAATCAACCGCTATCACGCTGTTGGTAGCAGTGATTAAGTTTTCTCTTTTCAAGCCTAATGGAGTATTTCCTTCCTTCAGCCACCAAATAACAAAGTGAGAACAAATGTGGCTTATGGAATCCACTCTCCTTTCCTCCCCTAGGGCGCTACCCTCAGGCGAACAAGGGGACCTACATTCCAGTGCCTATTGTCTCCGAGCTGCAGAGCGGAAAGTGGGGGGCCAAGGTTATCATGAACGAGGACAGGTCTGTCCGGCTGTCCATCCAGTCTTCGCCCGACTGCATTGTGGGGAAATTCCGCATGTACGTGGCTGTCTGGACCCCCTACGGCATCCTCCGAACCCGCAGGAACCCGGAAACAGACACATACATTCTCTTCAACCCTTGGTGTGAAGGTAAGCGACAAGGCTTAGTTTTCTCATGAGAAATATTCACCCACTCTGATGCATCTCTTTTTTGCGGTTGCGGGGTAGCAGGATTATCCAGAGGACGTGACCCTTTCCTTCATACACCAGTTTCTATGATTAAGAAAGAGAAAGACACAAAATTTGTCCTCAGTGTGTGTAGGAATGCAACCTGTATGTGTGAACTTAATGCTGCTACGTACTCGTTCCAGGAATGCATTGAAGAGTGCTTACAGTTGCACAGGTAATGAGTTGTGGAGCTACATGTTGATGGTGTAGCCTCTGTGTGCTGCTGCCTTATAAACAAATGCCTTGTTAACTTCGACTTTTAAAACTAATAGAACCCATGACTCTGACTCCAAAAAAAAGAGGAGAAAATCAACCATTTCCGTAGTGGAACTTCTCCATCTCCTTAATTCAAAAACAGAGTCTAAAGTATCCCACAGACTTGTTTATATGCACAGTGTGTGCACACTTCTCAAATCATACCCCCAAATATACAAACACACGACTGTATTTTAATATAGTACAACTTAATCTCTAGTGCTATTTTGAGTCTTCCTTTCTGCCTACTCAGAAGCTTAATCTAGTTATATTCATATAAACTCAGTCAAGCTCAACCATTTCTCTATCAATTCAATTTAACCATTCAGTAACACACTGGCGTCTCTCCTTTCCCCATTTCCGTGCTTCTGTGCTTCCCCTCTGTTCCCCTCACTGGGGAAGGGGCTACTAGAGGCAGATGTGGCACTGATGAGGGAGTGACCACTTTCTGGTGTTTTGGTACCAAAACAACACCCTTTCTGCAAGTTGAGAGCAGGCGGTTTCTCATGCTATGCTATCTGTATGCATTGCTGTTTCATATCCTCCAAAAACGGGTCTATTGTTGCTGATTTTGAATGACTTTTATTTGATAAAATTACATTTGGATGAGGATCAATCTGAACTAAACATAGATAATAAGTGGGCAACAATGTTTTCCACTCGTATAGAATATAAACCTGGGTACTTCTGTCCTTTTCTTTGTATTAACAGTTCCAGTAGTATGGCAATAATCTAATCTTATATTCCTCACCCTCCCATTTTCATTATCTCCTTCTGATCACTTTTGTTTTGTTTTGTTTTGTTTTGTGTTTTTAAGACAGAATCTTGTTATATAGTTCAAGCTGGTCTTGAACTCACTATGTAGCTCAGGTTGGTCTCAAACTTGTAATCTTTCTGCCCCAGCCGACCAAGTGCTGGGATTACCGGCATATGCCACCATGCCTGGCAGTTTCTGAATACTTCAGTTTATCTATAAGACTGAAGTGTTCGAGGATGGTGCTAACAGGAGATGCTAACTGGGCCATGTACAGTTCACAAGTGAACTCCTACTTATAGTAATCTCATCCGTCAGACATAAAGTCTTTTGTAGCTGATTGAGGGGTGCTATGTACAGAGATGGTCGGAGCTAATTATAGCTATCCACAAGAAATGATAACTAGGCATATGAATCATAGATGTGAATTTGGGAGTTAGCTGCGTCTTGGGAGGAGATGCAGATAAGAGAGGAAATAAGATGCATTATCCAACCCTCAGGAACACCGCATTTAGGAGTCTAGTAGAGGAACTGGCAAAGGAGATTATCTTAATCACTTTTCTTATCACCTACACCCACAACTTAAAAGAGAGGTTTATTTGGAGTCAAGTTTTTAGTCCATGGTTGGCCAGCTCCAAGGCAGAAAGGCACAGGGGAAGGGTCTGGTGGAGGACAGCTGCTCACATCATGGTGGCCAGGAAGCAGAGAGAAAAGGGGGAAGCTGGGGAGGAAGAGAAACCCTTCCGGGTCACAGTCCCAGTGGCCTGGCTCTTCTGACCAGAACCTGCCTCCTAACAAGAAATCAGTTACGGTATTCTGTGTCCAATCCTCCTTCAAAAGCCCTGCCTATGAGCATGTGAGGCCCTGATGGGTCATTCTCAATGTCAATTATAAGAGAGGTGCAGAGAAAACAAATGTAGGAAATTATTTTTTCTAAGAAAATTGAACTTTTAAAAAATCCATACTTATAAAATAAATAAATCAGGAGTTTGTTATTGACTTACAAAATGAAAATAACAGGCTTCATATACCTACGTAGCACTCTGGGGTGTTTAAGGAATTATATGATTTATCCCAAACTTTAGTTTCTTCACAGCTTTTCTGAATTACATCATTTGCCTAAAATGCATTTCAACTTATGTGGTTAGTCCTCTTGTGAGGAATATGTTTCTTCTCATACTGAGTATACAGAAGAATCATTCAAGTCTAATAATATTTAATTAGACCTGACCACCTAATCGCTACCTTGGTTTTGAGTTGCATCCATGGTAAGCAGCTCATAGGACCTCTGCTCAGAAAGTTGCCTAGACCTGGAAATAATGTGATCTCTGGCCTAGAGGCGATATTACAATAGAAGGGCCCCTCCTACATATCATTGCACAGAGAAAGGATTGAAAGAAGGTGAAATTAAAACCAGAGAGACCAGGTCAGAAGCTGTGATCCAACACAAAGGGCAGGACAGCTTGGACTCTGGTATGGCCATGGATGGGTGGGGATGGAAGGTAGAGCTATTTTGAACATGGGATGGAAAATGCAGAAGGACTAAAGATGAAAGGTAAAGAAAAGAGAGGAATTAAGGATCACTCTAGATGTCTGCTTTGGCCCACCAAGCTGATGGTGGTACCATTTCAGACCTGGGAAGTCAGGGGAAGGAAGGGACAATCGAGAGACGAAACTAAGACATACACAAGAATTGTTAATTTAGGGCTATCTGTGAGACATGTGGGTGAAGATACCTAAAAGGCTCTTGTATAAGTGAATGTAAAGCTCAAGGGATGGTGAGGTGTAGCTATCCACATGGGCACCATCAAGCACAAGAAGGAACAAAAATGGGTCCAACATCATTAGCAATTACAGTTGAGACAAACAGAAGTCAGCAAAGGACACTGAGGAGAAGCAGGCACTGGGTACAAGGAAATCAAATCATAGAACCGTGTGTATTGATTGGCTCAAGAAGACAGTGATTGATTCTGTTGAGATGGATTGGAAAAAAGTGATTATGCCTCATGGAAACATGGGCACCCTTGGCAATCTTGGAAAGAGCAATTTCACCAAAGCAATGGGACAGAAGCCAGGGAGATGGGCATGGTCCATAGTGTAGGTGACAGTGAACAGTGTAGATGGCGGGTATCACCAAGTTCTCTAAGAAGACATTCTGTAGAGGAGAACTTTTTTAAAGACAGCAGAGTGTGGGTATGAACAAGAAAGCAGAAGCTTACTGCCCAGAGAAAGGGTGGAAGCACACAGCCTTGGCTGAACAGTGCAATAATCCAGGGAGCTTTATACCCCACTAATGCTTCTGTCCAAACACACAGACCTTCTGGTGTAATTGCTCTGGAATACAGCCCCAGCATCAGGGTTTTTCCAAAGCTCCATAGGTGATTCTTGAGGCTGGGTTTAAGAATGGAACCCTAGAATGGATGTAGCCCAGGAAACAGGGGAAGGGCCCATGAGAGATGCCCTGCCCACCTGAGCTGGGAAAGAGACACAGCAGGAAAGGTGGTAAAATTTTTCTAGATTTGGTGAAAGGAGGATGAGGTTTTTGCTGTTTTGTGACTGTCTTCCCTGTATGTCTTCCTCTTATGTTAAGAGCATGCAGAAAGCAGGGAGCTTTATGAGGAAGCTTTATGTGGAAGCTTGATGAGGAAGACATGAAATAGTTATGTGGGATTGCAAGGTAAACTTCTTACAGAAGCGTGGCAGGTAGCCCTCTCAGCCCTGTGAAACACAGGGCAAGTGGCCACAATTTCCTCAGTCTGTTGGCCTGTGGAAGTCTGAGTATTTCTGCAAATTTCTGGGTATCTCTGTCCTTGTAACTATAGGGTTTTCTATTTCCCCCACTACTTATCCTGTGATACCCCAGATGAGAAATTTAACCCTTTTTCAATTTCAATATCATCTTCAATAACAACAAAAACAAAGAAATCTATGAATGTCTCTAGACTTTATTGCAATTCAGTACAGAGAGTAAGAGGTAGGAGGATTATCTCTATAATTCTCATACCTAGAGGACTTCCAAATGATCTGTAGGGCTTGTTCAAACAGATTTAAGTGAGCAGTTCTGGGGTGAGACCTAAGAATCCACATGTCTAACCAGTTCCTAGAGTATGCTGATTCTACTAAGTAGGACCACACTTAGAGAACCACTGGTTTACAGAATAATCTCAAAACAATAATAAAATAAAGGAGGGTATAATTTAGTGTCTTAGTTATTTTGCTCATTGCTGAGACAAAATACCAGATGCCTACAAGTTAAAGGAGGAAAGGTCTATTTTGGCTCACAGTTTGTACAGGTTTCAGTTGATAGTTGGCTGGCTCCATGGCAGGGTGGCATGGCAGAGGGGTGTCACAGAAGAGAAACAGTTCATGGCAGAGTAGAGAGGAAGCAGCCAGCAGTGAAAAAGCAGCAGCAAGCCTCCCTTTCCTTTTTATCCCATCCAGGCTATGTGCCTTGGGTGGTGCCAGCCATACGCAGGGTGGGGTTTCCCATTACCCATACATACCTGTAACTATCCTAAACCAATCAAAGGATTAACCTAGTTATCACATCCTTAATCTATATTTACACATTGTTAATCTACATTCACATGCCCAGATCCAGTCACCTCCAAAAAGTCACACTTACAAGTGCATGAGACTCTGGGGGACATCTAGATACAAACTTTGGCATTTACCCCTCTTAAAATTTGTCTAGTTCTTCCCTAAAGCTGCTCCCAGTCTCTCTCCACCTTCCACCTCTTCTCTGTCCCTCTGTTGATCTTCCTTGTTCTCCAAACTCTCTTCATTCTCTCTCAGGAACAAATTCTTTCTTCTCTCATGTAAGCTTTTTTATTCTTGTTTGGACTTCTCCAACAGCAGTGCTTTGGGGATACTGCACAAGTTTTGCAGACCATTGCTTCCAGAAAAAGTCTGG